TCACCAGAGTTCATAAAGGTTCCTCTGTAAATATATTCAGGTTGGCCTGGTGTCACCTAATACAAAAAAGACAGCCTGTGTCTGATGAATGTGAGGAGGATGGGCATTTCACTGCCACTCTTCACAACACTAAACACAAGCACAGTAGCACCCGATGAGAAGAGGATACATGTTAAACACAGACACAAACACACATGCGCAACCTGTCCCAAAGAAGATTAAGACATATTACACTCTAGTACAGCGAGCACGTCCTTGCCTTATTTCACCTTGCACGTTCCCTCTTTTCGTCTTTCATTAGAAGCCATGAATGTGAGCTTTCCAACCCTGACATACGGGCATATTTTATGAATGAGTTTTGAAGCGTTAAGAGCCCCCACTGCGTGAATGATGTGTCATCAAAGATGAAAAAGGACTCGGTCTGTTGCCTCAGTAGTCCATATGTTCCCACGAGACTGAAATGAGTCAGCCAATGAGAAAAAAACACAATTCTGACTTTGTGAATGGCTGTATACCAGTACAAAATGTCAATCTATAGGTAATTAATTGTAAACATTAGACACTTGAGTTCCTCTGGTGGGTTTTAAGTGGATTTTACACGTTTCTAAAGCACTTTTACTTGTTTAAGGGATGTTATACAGTGCAAACAATCTCCACTGTCTTGTCTACAAACAGCAGACCACTCCACTGGTATCAACACAATGCTGTTTGATTCAACAAAAGCAAGCTGATTTGCATTGGAAAGAAAGGGAATTATCTGACGCCCTCGGCTGATGTTGTCACGTTAAATCTCTTGTCAAGAAGTATCATTTTGCACATCAGGCTACGTATGTGCAGTGCATGTGTTTGTGCCCTTTTGTTCTTATATTTGCAAGTGTTTCTGGAAAAAAGGGAAGCAAGAGACAGAGGGTAGGGATGTGTTGTGGTTGAGCAGTGACCCAGATTAGACAGTGACATCTCCGGCCCCTCAGGGGGTGTTCAGGAACAAGATACTGCTGTTACTGCAGAGCGGCAACACGGCAAACAAAGAACCACCTTTGAAGTACTTTTTCTGTAGAATATGTTTTTAAGGAACATATTGAGATAAATTAGAAAAATGTACCGGTAATCCTAAATGTGTGTTATGTTATGATGTGTCTTTTGGAACAGATGTTATTGAATTGTTTATTTCCCGTTGTCTAGCTTGGACGTTTAATCATATTTAATGAAAAAGGATTGTTATCTGTCTGGGGCCAGTAAAATAATCAAGGTTTATAGGTTGATTCTAAGGAAGGTCCTTGCCATACATGAATAGCCAACACTACAAACAAATATGCTCACTGCTTCCCTTTAAGTGATTCATCGGTTATATTTTGCCACTGGAGATATCAGAGTTTCCGATTGGTGGACTACTTTTAGGGACCTGTTTGAATTGCTTGGCTTTTTTTGCAGTAAATCAGGTCCTTGTCAAGTGCATGTTTTTGCGAAAACACAGAGAGCATTACATAGTCAGATGCAATGACATGGCATTAAAAGGCTGTGTGTACTTATCCTCAATGCCCTGCTTTTACAATCCGATTGCCGTACCCAGTGTCCTCTACAGCAGACCACTGAGTGCACTGTGCTTTTGGCGCGATTGATTTTGTATGTTGTTTTCCTTCTGAGTCTTTAGACTCAGCCTTGCCGCCTTCTCTTCCTCTTGCTCCATCGTGGCTAATTACTGTGATTGATTAATCGATGGTGTGACGTCCCTCACAGTCGGGCGAAGCTTAGTGTGCCACCCCAATCACACTCCCAAAGAAAGATTGAGGGAGGCCAAGGTTAAAGGTATAACAATCTGGCAGAAAACAGTGATGTCGACCAAGCGCGGCACTTAAAATGTAATTTCAATACATCGTCTATCTTTTGATCTCGCCATAATGAAAAGCCTCTGATGCAAGCCATCCTACTGTAGATTGCCAGCCCTTGACCCAGGAAGTGAATTAAGGGATCAAAGTGAGCCGTGGGACGTAGCAACAAACACGAGTGTATCACCATTGTTTTCACAAAAGCGTCAGACGATGAAAGAGACAGGGAACAAAAGATCGATTGTAGTTTTAACAACACTGATCTTTAAACGTACAGCAACAGTTCAGAGGCACCTCTCTTATTCTAATTAATCAAATCTTAGACATAGGAAGACAGATGGCAGTGTTAAGTAAAGGAATTAACAGACCCCATGCTCCAGTGTCCTGAAGAGCAGAATTGATCGTTGTGGGAATTGTAAGGAGGAATAACATTGGATAAGAGGATTATTCACAAACATATTTTCTAAGTGTCATACATGGATTACAATAAAGTAGCTACTGAAATGTGGATTTTCATTATTTCCCATGAGGACATGATGAAAAAATCTTGCCTACATTTTTAAACAAAAAGCCTCTAATCCTTTTGCAGACGCAGGGCCCCAATATGCATATCTTCAAATGTGTTTCTGTGTACAAACCATAGGCCATTAGTGCATCTGTGGGACTGTAAAAAAGCGACAGATTGGATCCCAGTGGTGCAGTGCTTAGTAAACACAACTAAAGAGACACCCAGTCGGGACACAGCGATCTGGGCCATTACCTCTAACCTCTGCGCATTTTCCGGTCTCACGGGGCCCGGGTGAGGTAACACATGGCTAGGCATGCTAACACAGACACATTGCTATCCCGGCTGCGTGCCTCGGGAGCTGCTTTATAGGTTTGACTAGATATCGCCTGGTTAATTGCTGCACCTGCTATGTTTCCTTAACACAACACAGAGGATCAGCCCTAACTAATGATAGCTTATGATGAATAATATAATGCATTCGCTAATTCATTTGCTGTGATGGAATTTCGTCAAAAATAGTACGACTGGGAGGTTGTTAGATGATATGTTCTGGCCAAATTTCACTAACCTCACTTTCTGCACTCCTAATCCACTCTCCTATCCAGCTCTTAGCCTGAGCAATTGGACAGAGGGAGTAACAAAGTGTGGAGTGCTGGGGTGAGCCAATCTGCAGCAAAGCACCAGGTGTTGGAGATAATGTTCCGCCGGAGCGTTTCTTGGCGCGTGGCGCAAAGTTTATCATAACTGCAGGTTTGATCGATGGCACATTGCAGATTGAGTCCTCAACCAAGTGCTTCTGTTAATAAATCCTGACTCGCACAAACAGACTTTGAGGGGCCGTGGTGGAGAGACTGGCGAAGACAGCTATTGATCCTGCGGACGCGCACAGGCCGATAAGCCAAACTATGGTTTTAGATGTGTGAAGCTGACACTGCAGAAAAAAACAAGGCAAGGAGTGGGGGAATAGAAACTTAAGCATAGTTGAACTTTTGAAATGTGCTTTAATGGTGGTGAGACATTTAAATGTGTAGACCTGGATAGACAAGTAATTCGGAATTCCATCTAAGTCTTGGTCAGTCCTATTATATCCTCAGGCAAAACCAGAATTCAATACAATCAGTATCAGTGTAACATTAGTGTTGCACGTACAAACAATACCCACTATGTATATTTCAATAATGTAAGTGTTTAAATAAGCCATTATTATGAGTTGCATCATTGTGCAACAGCGGGGAAGCGTGTATCAGCTGTGTGACATATACAGGTGACTAGGGATGGGTATCGAGAACCGGTACTAAGTCAATACCGGTACCTGATTGGAAGGTAGCGGTATACCGTTAAGCCGCTGGAAAAACGGTGCTGCTATCGGTATATGGCCCTTTCTCATTTAATCAAATCCCCCTCCTCGACTCCTCGACTCCTCGGTCCTCCGGTAGTGACCCGGAAATGAACATCAGCGCGCCATGTTGAAGGACATCTCATTTAAATGCACTTCGAGGACCGAGGATCGAGCGTCGAGGAGGCTCTCTGGAGGAGCTATAATTGAGGGTCCTCCACGGCTCCTCCACGGATGCATTTCCGGGAACAGAGATGTTTCAAAGAGTCGTGACGCACGGCCGGACTTACCTCAGCCAATGACAGCTCTGCATGCATCCCCATGATATTATTTAATGAACTGCTTTCATCGTGACGCGATGTTTCCAGAGAGAACAGTTGTGAGGTCCGTGCAGAAAGCAGAGCAGTTTGTAAAATATATATCACTCAGTATAACAGGCCTACTCTCTTTATTTGCTTTAGTTTAGTAGATATCTACAAACAAAGAGTCGATATTTTTCTAAAACCATTTAGTGCTTCAGATAATAAAGTACACAACGGCTGTAGCCTGATTATGCTTTAGGAGAAGTAGGTGTGTGTGGTACAGTGTGTAGGTGTGTGTGTTGTACAGGGCGTAGATGCGGCGGACAGACGGGTCTCAGTTGGTTTGGTGTCCTATGCTTACTTTTAATACTTGGACAACTTTTGGCCAGTAATTTCAATTCCCCATTTCAGCGACCAGAGAGAGGGTGGGGGGGGAGAGAGTGCTCTCATACTTGTTTGATATATCCAGTCTCTGATTGTGTTACGTTATTATGAGAGTGCTCTCATACTTGTTTGATTCTGAAATTGTATATATTTATATAAATATATGTGTGTGTATGTGTCCGCATCTGTAGCCTGTTATTGTCTCATTATACCGCACTGTGAATGAATCAAAGTAAACATATACAAGTGGTCATGAACACATCTGTCCATCAGAGTGCTGCTGTGCCTCCTGTCATCACTAATGGACGTCTCTTTAAAATGACCGCTCAGAGGAGAGGAGTTCTCATTCCTCTAACCGCCTGCTGCTTCCACTCGTCTCTCCTCGGTTCCCCTCCTCAGTCCTCCGCTCGCATCTCCTGTGGGCGGCACCAAGTCTCGAGGAGAGGAGTCGAGGACAGGAGTCGAGGAGAGGAAATTTGAGTATTGAGAAACCTCTCTTGTCTTTGCTGTAATTGTAAAGTATTTTTGTGTGAGGAAGACATGCATTTCAAATCATTTTAGTTTTATGAAATAAAAGATCAGGTTAATTTAAAATATGGAAATAGATTACTAGTCAACGTTTTAACTTGTTTTTTCTCTTAAAGGACCTGAAGGCAGCAGTGACGAAGATCTGCACTTTCTTAGGGAAGAACCTGAGTGAAGCTGATATTGAGAAAGTTGTGGAAAAGTCTATTTTCAACAACATGAAGAAAGACTTGAGAGCAAACTACGAGTTTCTGCCACAAGAGAAGGTGAAGGCAGACTTCATGCGCAAAGGTAACGTAACCAGTGATGGAAGAAGTTATAGACCCTTTAGATCCTAAAATATTCCATTACAAATAATTGAAAATGTCACTTAATTAGAAGTACATAAGGAGGATCAAATTAATGTAATTCAAGTATCAAAAGAAAAGTACTCAGTGTTCAGATTGGCTATTTTCATATAGAATATACATTAGTTTAATCGCCAACATTTACATGTTATATTATTGTAATTGTATAAGCCCATTTCATTTACAGTGCTGCATCATATTATATAGGCAAATGATGTGTTTTTTATTTGTATAAAGTAGCTATTTCCTATGAGTTTTTAATAAAATCAATACTTGCCTCCAAAATGTAGTGAAGTATATGTAGAATAAAACGGGAATTCTCAAATATGTGGAATGAGGAATATCAAAATAGTTCTTAAGTAAAAAAAAGTAGATGTCAGCATTGATTAATCTAACTGCAGCTCTTGTGCAGAAACATATAAACATATATCAGGTCTAGATAGTATTTTCTTTGTTTACAGGTAAGATCGGTGACTGGAAGAACACCTTAAGCGCCGCTCAGAGTCAAAGAGTGGATCAACTGCTGCAGGAGAGACTCAGTGATTTGTCTCTGAACTTCATTTGGGAGTAAGAAGAGTTGCAGAGGTTTTTAATTCTGCAATATCTTGTCAAATGTATTTTAGAATAACAACTTCAACAGATGTTGTTAATGTATAACTGTTGATATGTGTCACAGTAATGCTTTATAACCCCTGCTTGGACTTCTGTACTGGAAAAATAAAACAGCAATAAAGTGTTGGCCAATCTGTCTTTATTGAATGTCAAAAGTTAAATTTTGTTTATTTATGTATGATGTAGATTTGCTTTGGTCACTGCATGGAGTCGACACCACATTGCAGTTCTCTTTATCTAGAATTAGAGAAAAGAAGATAGTTTTATATCAGTAAGCAAAACAAGATTAATATGATGTTCAGAAAGGGACCCGGGCTGATATACTATGATTTTTTATTAATATAGAAAACAGGTTCTTTAAATGATCAGATTACTGCTGTTCCAGATTGGATGTAATTTAGGGGTTTATCAAGATATCCTGATTACGGAGGAAATCTAGAACCAGCGGTGTTAAGTAACTGAATAGATTTGGTACCACTTTACAATAAGACTACACTTATAAAGGATTAATAAAGGGTTTATAATTAGGTTATTAATTAGGTTATAAACACTTTATTAATCATTAAGAACCATTTATAAACCAGTTATAACATACATCAACACAGGCTCACTATTTGGCAAGATGAATAAGCCTTATATTGGCTATAGCTTACTTCGTCTTCTTCATCAGCCAACATCCTTGGTATCTGTTGTTCACTGAGTTGATTCACCCCCTTCCATCTTGATGTTTCTTGGCATCTCTTTATGACCATTTATTTATGAGTTACTACCATTTATAACTGTCAAAAGGGAGCCTTGTAAAGTCTAAAACACATTCCCATTTATTAATGAGTTACTACCATTTATAATTTGTTTAAAGGTGGGGTAGGTATGTTTGAGAAACCGGCTCGAGATGCACTTTTTGTTATATTCCATGGAATGCTCTTAACATCCCGATAGCAATGAATATCTTAAGTGCTTTGACAAAAAAATCCATTAAAAAATGTAATCTCTGGAAGCCGTAGTACTGTAAAAAGCATGACCAATCATTTTAGCCGGCCCGGCTAAAATAACTGGATGGCCTACCTGCCTGTCAGCCTTCCATCTGTGCACAAACTTATCTCGTGCACTGATTGGTCATGTGCGCGTTCGTGTGTGTTGGAGGAGGGGCTCTGTAAGGAAGTGGCAGATTTTTTCCGGTTGT